AACCCCCCCCCACCCCCACACACACACACACACACGGCGAAAGAGCGAACGTGTTCGGCGTCATGTTTTTATCCCGCTACCCCCACAAATTGCGAGTCCAGCGCCCTAACCACTATATCATGCCAAACAAAATTTAAATACAACTGCGATAGTGTTTAAAATCATTTTCTTCCTGGTCTTTTTTCTCCAATCAGTCAGGTTTTTCACAACTTTATCGCCTTTATTCTTCAAACTTAACTAAATCTCTTTCATCTCGATCTTAGCATTCCTATCGTTATTGTAGTTGTTACCTACTTGTATGTAACTCCTCACTTAAATAGGTTGGAGCCAAAAATTGTTGAAATAGATTAGAATTACCATTTGTACTTTGGTTTTGAAAGATGATATGCAGGTGTACATTAGACTCAACAAAAAATGAAGAAAGGTGCTCACCATTCGTGGCATCCAGTGGCTCAGCGTTTAGACTTTAGGCTTACACGCTAAGAAGTAGGTTTCGATAATCGTAGTGGGCGGAGCACAGATAGCATTACGCTTAACAGCAACCAACCAACCAACACCGGTCGTGACAAGGTTTTAAAAAATACCACAGCAACTACGCTGTTATCCATAGCGACTCCTGTGAGATTTCGTGACGTTATTTTCTGAATCCTCCAGAAGAAGGCATCGATGTTCGTGCTTACTTTACCTCAGCCCACGAGAGCCAGTTCTGTTAACATTATACTTAAGAATGAGTATTTTGTTTCAAAGAAAAAATTTTCTAACGACCCATAGGAGTCGCTATGGGTAACAGAATAACTGCTGTGGTGTTGTTGTTTTGTTTTTTAACCTTATTAAGACAACAAAATCAGCACTGTCTCTAATATGATCTATCATATTATGACAAAATGTTGTCTAAATTAAACAACTTAGAAAGTCAAAAGGTCAACCCAGTCAATCACATTTTGCCACAAATCAAACAACAACGTATATTTTAAGCCATTTATTTGAATTCTTATTGAAAAATAAACTGAAAAATAAAAAGGTAAATAACAAGTTATACTAAATCTTAATACGAAACTCGTCAAAAATCTCAATCAAAATTAATAAATCTGCTGTAAAATCAAAGAAAGAGAAATAATTTTATAAAGTATGAAAAAAGTAAGCAAAGGAATTATGTCCTAACTACCACAAAACATAAGCCCTCGTGGGCTAAGGCTGTAACGGTCTAAAATGAACCCGCCGCTACAATCAGGGATCAACAACAAAAACGCAGTACATTCATAATAACAACAAATAAATTCAACAAGGTTGATAAACAACTGCCTGGTCAGGATTTCACACCAATATTAATAAATACTTTATCATAAGTATTAATAAATCAATAATAATGAAACCAGGAACAAGAACCAGAAAGAAAAAAACTCAATTCTAAAACAAAATAAGCAATTACAATATTCAAATAATACCTTTCAATATCTAGTGGCAAACAGCAATAATTATATTCTTCCTTCCTTCATTCATTCATTCTCTCTCTTAGTGAAGCTTCTAGCAAGGCATTTATTCACAGAGTAGGTCAGTTTCATCATACACACATAAATATTTACTGAAAATAGAAATGATTACGTAGAAGTTGAGTTAGCGTTTTAATGCAACTAAACTAAACGATAGAAGGAAATAGTAAATGAATGATAAATACAACCATAATCACTCAAAAAAATCATAATAATATAATTTGGTATCTCACAAGGTAAAGTAAAAATTGAGAGGATAACATCATGAAGACTAGAGAGAACATTAGCCTTATACGTAATAATAAAGTTTGTTTCTTTAATCCCCCCCAAAAAAAGGTATTCATAAGAATTTTAGTACCCAAGACGAGGCCTTGGTATCTGATCAAAATGCTGGCTATAGTAAGTATAGTTTATAACGGTCTATGTTCCCTAGGGTTCGATTTAATAACAACAAGTGTATCATGTATGTAATTTACTTTCATGCCCTAACTGTCCTTACCTTCAACCGGATTTGTCGATCCAGCGCATATTTTTGATATATTTTTACATTTAAATCTGGAAACACCATAACTATTTTTAAGACTTTGATTGTTACCAACTGAAACTTGACTATCGTAGTCAACTACTTTACTCCATCCCATTCCAATTACATATAATAACCTCAATAACGTTTAAATCTTCCAATGCCCTAATGAAGTTGTAATAAAGTGAAGGCGGTAAATAAATGTTTTGTTTTTTTTCGACATAAAGGTCTTTTTTCTTTAATATTTAAAGCGTATAATGTCCGATATACTCCAGCCAGAAAGCATTGTACGATATAAACAAAGGAAAATGTATGTGCGTATTAGATATCAACAAATATGAAACATAATACAGGCTCAAATCCAATTTGCGGAAGACCGTCACGTGGCCAATGACGCAGGTGAAGCTTCAGGAAGCGTTGGGTGAGTATTTCAATTCGTCTATTGGAATGGTTAGAAAAGAACGTGTGTTTCGAGTGAGCTTTTTTATGTAATTTTATGTCAGTTCTCAACAACATTTTATACCCGATATAATTACAGCTATGAGATATTCCTCAGGAATAATACTTCTACTTCTAAGTTGTGTTTTTGCGACTGAAAAGTTGGGTAAGTATGTTTAAAATTGCCAAGTTACTGTAGTCTGTAAAGCTGTCGTCTGTTTCGTATCAGCGTATTCCCGCTTCGGTATCGTTTAATAATATAGCTGCGGCGACCTTTACGTAAAACCCGCTTCTTTAAGTACTTAATAACTTTACATGATTTCGCTACAATAATAGTAGCTATTGGTTTTACGAAAAATTGTTCTAGTAAGACAATGAAACGTTAAACTATATTGCAATTATTAGTGTTAAGCGTGTGAGTAATTTGAGTGTGTTTCTTTTGATTGAGTGTTTTTACTTACTTTTATCTTAGTCATGCTGTTAGTGTTACTAATATTTCCTATAGCGAGAGCGTTTGGCGTAGGTGTGTTCTTCTTGATACAATAAAGTTTATACTGAATTTTCTGACGTCATGAAGCAAGTTACATATACATTAAAACATTTAGCGAATAGTACAAAGCCGTTTCAATAACCAAACAATATAATCCTTGATAAAAATTCATTTCAAATTCTGTTACATTGCTAGTTTAAACTGGATATTTTGTGATGTAAAAATAAGTGATGAAGAAGTTTCCTTCTGAAACGTAAGGTTATTCGCCGATTGGTTTATTTTGTTGTTTAGAGAGAAGCTGAACATATACATAATAATATATATCTACATGTCTGTCACCTAACAACTTCCTCAAACTTGTAAGAGACATTTTTGGTGTCAATTTCTTCAAAATGGTTATGAAAAACACACTTTAATAATACACTTTGTTTGGAAATATTCTAATAACATAATTTACTTTTATCGGGCATCATGATTTCTTTTACGAGGCCGAAATGTAAAAAAAAAAGAAAGGAAAAAATTAATTGTATGTATAAACGAAGCGCAAGTTTTTGGATAAGTTTTATTAAGGTTTTCCAGTAATTGTGATTATTATTTAAAACCAGTAAAATGATATACATTTAATATTACAAGGGTTCGTTTGTCCATAAATATAAATCGTCCTTATTTAGTTAATTTTATATGATGCAAGTAAAAACGTATATCTGTATATCTGAGTTGTAGGTATGGATTTATAAATGTATGTTGAACTTCGTTGTAGGTATGGATTTATAAATGTATGTTGAACCTCGTTGTAGGTATGGATTTATAAATGTATGTTGAACCTCATTGTAGGTATGGATTTATAAATGTATGTTGAACCTCATTGTAGGTATGGATTTATAAATGTATGTTGAATTCGTTGCAGGTATGGATTTATAAATGTATGTTGAACTTCGTTGTAGATATTCTTGTAATCAGGGATCATGTTCTGTTAGTTTTTCTTATATATTTTTTATTTCGTGCTAGAATGTGTAAGTTTTACAATAAAACAATAATGTTTTGTTATTATTATTTTTGTGATACCCTAATGAACATTCAGTTTTATGTCTAAGGAAATAATATTTATTAGTCCATATTGTTAACATTGTTACTTTGAAAATTATATTTACCTCAGTAGACAGAGGATTTCAATTTTTCCATTCCGTTAAAGCACGTTTCCAGACAAATACTACTATGTTTTTACTGCCTGAATATTTCAATATTTTCCATGAGCTGTTTGCTTGAAAGAACGACATAATACTAGCTGATGAAAGAAGTAAAATTTTGAAGTGGTTGGTAAATAATGTAAAATTACTTCGAAACGTTTTTATTTTTGTTTTATTCATTTTAAAATGATAAAAAAATGTTTAATCAAATAAACCTAAGCACTTATCAAATTATAAAGAGCCGCTTCTGATATTACATTAACATTATTTTTAACTTTTACTAATTCTTTTAGCGACAAACACACGCACACAACCAACGTAAAAAAAACTTCTGCATTGAGGTGAGGTAACGTCACAAACCAAAAAAAAAAATTATGTATTAGTATTTAAATCAATTTTTAAAGTCTTGGGCCATGGTTCTTATCCAAGAAAAATTGCGTTGAGAAGGTAGCTAGGTGTTTATCAAGGTGCAGGGTGTTTACAAGGTGCAGGCTAGTTATACAGCCTAGCTATTTCCTCAGACTTCTTCCATGTTTGAATGGGTGGATGTGATACAGAGTGACGAGATAGCAACGTATACTAGCCCATAAGATCAAATCAGAATATGACTTGTATCTCCATAAAATAACAAACAATTATTAAAGAACCTTCGCTCATAAGTAAGCTACCTATGATATAGTCATTGTAACTTAAAATATAACTTGTAAATTCATCGAAACAATCCTTTATGGCAAAGTGACCAAAGTTTTTTTAATATCAATTTTAGGCCTACACAAGGAAATTAAAAACATATGATGTTTATAATGCAGGGAGTGATATTGTTTATTGTAGCTTAGTTTTGCATTTCCTGAGTATGACAGTTTGGTATTATGCAATGAAACTTTAAAATATTTTTTGTAGATAGACTTACATAAGTTGCCAACTTAATTATGTACATAGGCCTTCTACTATCTTATATCAGGGTAAACTTTAGAGGAAGAGTTATGTACATAGGCCTTCTGCTACCTTATATCAGGGTAAACTTTAGAGGAAGAGTTATGTACAGAAGTTTTCTACTTACTGCCTAATATCTCGAGGGTAAACTGTAAAAGAAGCTGAGGGCGCCAGATAGCGCTTGGTTTGTAATGCATGTACATCACTATTTCTTGAAGTACAAGTGTCTCCTTTGGTTAAATCTTACGCGTATTCCTTGATAATACAACATATTTTGTACTTTAAAATCTTGTTTTCTCATTTCTCAACCGATCGATAAGTCGCTATTGTACTGGCTAGAGTTGTGTATGCTCCTGGTTCTAGAGTATGAAGCTCTTCACACCTAGACGCGTATCTCTTTTTACTGGAAAGTTCAACTTTATTCAAATCTCATTACAGCAACCTACGACCTAAAAGCGGCAAAACTATAAGACAAGAACTTGAAAAGAAAAAAGCAAACAAACACACTTTACAAGTTTCATTCCAATATACACTGTATAAGTCATTGTCAAGTGAAACCCGTGGTGTGTCACCCACTGACTACAGAACAAATACAAAAACGAGAAAAACAGTAACAAATATTTCACGTGGTGGGCAAATTCATTCAGAAGATTTTGTTGTTGTTGTTAATATGTAGAATGAGTTAGGCTTCTGAGTAACGGGATAAAATATATATTTTTAAATTTATTGGAGTTTTGTTTATATAAAAAAAAATAGGTTGGAGGAAAATAAAAACGTTCGACCAGTGTAAGTTCCCGATAAGTACGAAGTGGTATATTATCTCGAATGAAACGTCTGATGTTATTAAACAGTAAGATAAGATTAACGAGGTAAACATTTAGCTACATGTGCACAGGATGTGTAGCAGCAGCCGTTTTGTATGCAGAATCAAAAGTTATCAAGGAAAGCTGAGTAGAAGCAGTCGAGTAGTATATGTACATACAGATTCATGACTGTTTCGTACCTACGAACCTGATAAGCATTGTATCTTTAACCTTATTGTATATTTATGCAATACGATTTTTTTACTTGTATTAAGACTACATACAGTATCTTCCTTCGAAACTGGTTTGTATAATATATATATTTGTGTAGCTGTCTCCCCTATCATGGGGTGTTTAAATGTATTGTGATAGTAAATAATTACCACAATGGTCACACCGTTAAAATATATATATATATATATATATCCTTCCCACCCAAGAACAAACAATTGTGTTAGTCCAAATAATTCGTCATTTATTTTACAATTAATATTCTAAGCCATGTTAAAAGGTTTAATAAAAGCGACCTCCGCGTTATATTAGGATCGTATGCATTTTTAGAGATATAAATTTAAACATTTTTCGAAACAATAATGAGGGCATTTTGCTCAACTGCTACTTGGTATCGCGGAACAGTCTCATCAGCATAACTTTATTTTAGCGCGAATGAGATTCTTAGACCACATGTCCGATGTTGGTAGTTTTCAGGGGATTAGCGGTCAGCTTTTTGTTTCAGTCGTCTTATCGTAGTACTGACTGTGCTGAAAAACCGATTGTGATCTGTATATTTATCCGATGTTGGTAGTTTTCAGGGGATTAGCGGACAGCTTTTTGTTTCAGTCGTGTTATCGTAGTACTGACTGTGCTGAAAAACCGATTGTGATCTGTATATTTATCCGATGTTGGTAGTTTTCAGGGGATTAGCGGACAGCTTTTTATTTCAGTC